ATTCAGCAGTGATGCAGGCTGGGATGGCTGTGACATCTGTCAGCCGCTCAGATAAAAGGGGTGAATCAAAACAGGGTCCTACTGCACAGCACAGGGAACTACATTCAATATCCTGTGATAAACCATAATGGAAACGAATATGAAAAAGAATGTGTATATATAAATGCGTTATATATATGTAAATGCGTTATATATATGTAAATGCGTTATATATATGTAAATGCGTTATATATATGTAAATGCGTTATATATATGTAAATGCGTTATATATATAAATGCGTTATATATATGTAAATGCGTTATATATATATAAATGCGTTATATATATGTAAATGCGTTATATATATGTAAATGCGTTATATATATATAAATGCGTTATATATATAAATGCGTTATATATATGTAAATGCGTTATATATATAAATGCGTTATATATATGTAAATGCGTTATATATATATAAATGCGTTATATATATGTAATGCGTTATATATATAAATGCGTTATATATATAAATGCGTTATATATATGTAAATGCGTTATATATATGTAAATGCGTTATATATATATAAATGCGTTATATATATATAAATGCGTTATATATATATAAATGCGTTATATATATATAAATGCGTTATATATATGTAAATGCGTTATATATATATAAATGCGTTATATATATATAAATGAGTCACTTTGCTGTACAGCAGCAATTAACACAACACTGTAAATCAACTGTACTTCAATACAAAATACTGTAATTTTTTTAAAAGGGGGTGAATTGCTTCTTTTTATATAACAGGTGATTTGTATTATTCATCTTGCTCTCAGTAAATCCCTTAATAGGAAGAGTCAACAACAAGCCACAAGGGGGAACAAGGTCAGACAGCAAGTGCAGGAGGCCGGGAGGCCCTGGTGTTTGAGAAAAATGCCTACATAAGCCCCTCCAGGGCCTCCAGATAAACCCCTCTGGCCCTCACCAAGTCCACAGCCGGCTGCCAGGGCTCTTCCTACCAGTTGCTGACTGGCACCAAGAACCTGATCGTCCTGAAGCTCTATCCAGACCCTCATATTCTATATGAGACCTGGGATGAAACTTCTAGTCAGACTCTGGGCCAAACTCTGCATTTTACAGAGAAAACTGGGTTTTCTCTGTAAGGAAAAAAAGGAAAGGACTCATCCTCATTCTAAAGCCCAAAGTCCACAACCAGTTTGTGCAGAACACCGCCCGGAATCACACTGAGGGGGAACTCTCTTCCCACCTCGCCCACCGCTGCACTGCCTGTAAACTCCACATCCTTCAAGCCTCAGCTCGGTGGCGCCTCCTCCAAGAAGCCTGACCAGCCTCTCTCCTCCTTCCGGTTGGAGCTTGAAGGCCCTCTCCTCAGACCCCGTGTGCCAGATGATCTTGTTAGAGAGCTGGAAACAGGCTGGATGCTCTGGCTCATCCGTCACCATGCAGTGGACACAAGCATCTCAAACGAACGAAGAATGTCTAGTCTATGTCCTCAGTGCCTGGTGCTCGGCAGGGCACAGTCGAGGTAAAGTATAATTAAGTGCCCATCTTGGTCAGCAAGGAGTGCTCTCTGATCGACCACCTGACCCTCTCACTCTGTCTCTCTGACCTGCATCTGAACAAGTATCCCATCTACTCTCCAGACCCTCATTTCAACACTCAGCTAAATGCATTCCCAACCGGACCACGGGAGCCGCTGTTACCCATGGCGGGTCTCCCCCAGAAGGCTTGGCCCACTGGTTCTCAGCTTCGGTTGCACATTGATGCCACCTAGGGGGCTCTCACCCCCCTCCCCAATGCCTAGGACACACCGTGGGGCACCCCTCTGTGCGGGGAACCCAGGCATCATATTCTTAACCTCCCCAATTGGTTCCAGCATGTGGCCAAGGTTAAGAAACATGCTCCTAAGAAAAATGTGATTCCAGAACCTATGTGTTGGTTCAGCCAGTACTGCGTGTGGGTGGATGTATGACAGTGTGAGAGACACACAGAGTGACACACGCAGTAAAAGAGAAAGAGACTGTCCATCACCATAGCCAGTGTTCCTCACCCCCGGCACTATTACATTTCAGGCCAGAACATTTTTGTTGTGGGAGCTGCCCTGTGCATTGTAGGATGTTTAGCAGCATCCCTGGCCGTAACCCATTAGATGCCAATAGCAAACCCTCCTCCCACCAGTTGTGACAACCAAAAATGTCTCCAGACATTGCCAGATGTCCCTGGGGTGGGGGAGCAAAATCACCCCCGGATGAGAACTACAGGTATAGGCTAGCCGCCAAATAACTTATTGCATTTTTTTTTTTTTTTTTTTTTTTTTTCGGTACGCGGGCCTCTCTCTTCTGTGGCCTCTCCCGTTGCGAGCACAGGCTCCGGACGCACAAGCTCAGCGGCCATGGCTCACGGGCCCAGCCACTCCGCGGCATGTGGGATCTTCCCAGACCGGGGCACGAACTCGTGTCCCCTGCATCGGCAGGCGGACTCTCAACCACTGCGCCACCAGGGAAGCCCAACTTATTGCATATTTATGTTCACATTTCAACTGTAGGTCACACAGGCATTTTTCCAAACTTGAATGAGTGGCTGAGGATTCTGGACACAGGTCAGTGTATTTGTGACAGACATACAGGACTGTACCATACACGGGATGGGTGGGAAATGGTGGGTGAGTCTAGAGAGAATCACAGAAACTAGATCAGGCAGGTTCAAGGCAGCTAAGATGAGTCAGTGGTGGTCAAGCCTATAAAAGATGACCAAAACCAACAAAACCCAAAAAGCCAGATATTCAGTAAAATAGTAACGCCAGAGGCAAGCAGAGGGTTGTCACAGGTGAAGGCAGGTGATGACCGGGAGCCAGGAGGAGGGAAATGAGAGAGAAGGAGCTCTTGGAAGTTCTGGGCAGGGAAGGACCACCCCAAGCAGCGTTTGGGGATAAAGTGTAGCACGGTGTGCAGCTGGCATGGGGGGAGGAAGGAAGCTGGGGGCGGAAGCGGAGCCGTAACACCCACACCCACGTGCTGCCTGATGCCTAAACCACCTCCAGTCCCTGCCCAGGCCGCCCTTCCACAACCAGAGCTCAGGGCAGCCAGGGCCAGATGCCGGCAGAGAAAACACCCAGCCAACGCTGGGGCACCTGGAGGGGGCCTGATGCCTCAGAGCCTCTTGAACCAGCCTCCCACAGCCTCCAGGGCCCCCAGGGAAGAGCCTCTGGAACGGCCCCTCCAGACATCACCCCAAAAGAGCAAAGAGCCAGTTGGAGTTCCCCAGGACCCTCGGGCCAGGCATCCTGCTCCTCACTGGCTCCCTCACCATCCACCCCGCCCCTTCCCACCCTCATCCTCCGTGCCGGAGGCTTGGTTTCCCCCAATATTCCCTCACATTCCTTCTCATCCCCTCGGGATCCTCTGTCTCTGCCCACCTCTGAGCCCTGGTGTGCTCAGACTTCAATGCTGAGACTCTTCTAAATGCATCTCAAACCATCTGTCTAAAACCCGACTGTGCACTTGCCCATTCGAGACATGCTTTGATTGTCCTCTACTGAACCCAAGGTAAAGTCCAACGTACCCGAAGCCCTGCTGCTCTTGCGCTGGCCCACCTCCCAGACCCCTTCCACCCGTGTGTGGAGATTCCAGCCACCTCTGACTTCTCCTACCAAGGAGAACAAAGCCACATCCACACCTAACAGCCTGAATCGCTTGCTCGTTTCTAAGCCATTCCGTGAAACAGTGATTTGCTGATTCTTCTGTGTCTGCCACCAACTCTGAGCAGAAACCCAGGTGACTGTCTGCAGCCTTGGCCCCACCTCGTCCCTGGTACTTAATACTCAAAGGAGTTGTTACTGCTTGCTGAGTACTATTTTAAGCGCCTTACTATGAATTACTTTTTTTAAATTCTCATCAAGTAGTTGTTTCATGCTCTTATAATAATAATATTATAGAAATATAAGTAATAATATTGTTTACCCCCCTTTCATAGTCGAGAGTACTGAGGTACAGAAATGTGAGGAGACTTCTTCAAAGTTATATAGTTTGAAAATGGGGAGATTCAAACCGGGACAGTCTGCCCACAGCCAGTACTCTTCACCGCTGTGCGACCCGGCATCACACTGCGAGACTTTTAAGTGAACTAATCCAACTACCCCCACGATTCCGCAGGGAGCAAAGGCCAGTGCTGCTGCAGATCCTCTGGGCCTCAACACAGAGATGCAATGAACAGAGGGTGAGCATGCGGCCCGGCTGATGTGGGCACAGGTGGGAGACCAGCCTTGACCACAGACACGGCTTCACAGACACGCTGACTCTGCCTGGGTCCCTGCTACTTACCTTCATCTGAGTTGGGTAAAAATACCAGGAATGTCAGCACTTCCGTCGTGGGAGGGAGAGACAAGCCAGGCCCAAATTGGCCTGAGGCCAGGGTGGCAGGGCCTAGTAGCACCCACCACAAGTCACAGAATGAAGGCAGTGGAGGGTACTCTGGTTCAGAAAGACTAGGTGGATGCCACAAACCTACAGGGCAGAACTGAGGCCAAAGACCAAAATCGGAGGCACAAGGCAAGGGTGGAATCTGGTGGCAGCAGGGGCAGAGATTCTGCCTACCCAGACAGAGCATCACTAGCCGGGGATGCTGGTCCAGCTTGCCCGGCACCCAAGGGAAGAGGGAGCAGATGGGGTTGGCACCAGCCTCAGGGCACAGCTCCCTATCATCCCATTCAGGGGAGCCACCCAGCCGCCCACGCCGGATTCTGGACTCCCACCATCGGCCCCACTGTTTCCACTTTAAATACTGTTCGAACAGTAGGGGAGCAGAGCTGGCACCTCTGGAGAAGAAAAGGCGTGAATAAGAAGGTGAGATCACCTTACACCTGGGACTCCACAGAACCTCCATCTAGCACCCATGCTGGGCTGGGACCAGCACCTCATTTGGGTTCAGAATGAACAAGCATTCAAATGATCTCCCTCTCCCTTCAAACAGCCAGAGCCCGGAACTCACCCTCATGGGCTCATCGGGGAACCCGGGTTTGCTCGGCCTGTCCTGGCGCCGGGATCTCAGGACCTGTTTGGCCTGCTTTTCCGTCAGAATCGGGGAGGCCCCTGAAAAAGTCAGGAAGGGACCTTAGGGACTCTCAGACACACGCATCCATGCTCCATCTCACAGTCCAAGGCGAAGCATTTGCAAGTCCAATTTGGGTCAACGCACAAAAGTTCTTTCAAAGGGACCTGTCCCAAAGGACGTGGCGTTCCAGAGGGCTCAGAGGGGAATTTTTAATTGTTTCTAATATGGTTAACTCAGAGTAAAAGCTGCACATTTACCTGCTGCTGCCATGGCTCATTCCTCTAAAGGTGGCTGTTAATTTAATGAACATGTTTCTTTAAACATATTTTCTTCAGTTCGCTGGTCAGTGTGTTTATTGTCCCTCAGGGTTGCTTTGGTGGGATTCTTTTAAATCCTCAATACACTAAATCAAGTTTAAGCTGTTATTAGAAAATTCCCCCATGACAATAAGGTTATATTAAACTTGATAAGCACCCACGATCCCTCAAAGAAAATATTATAACTAAAGTAAGTCAAGTTTTGATAATCACACACAAATTCTAAAAGATACTATTATAATAAAAGTATATCGAGGGAATTCTCTGGCGGTCCAGTGATTAGGACTCCTCCTTTCACTGCAGTGGGCCTGAGTTCAATCCCTTGTCGGGGAACTAAAATCCCACAAGCCACGCAGCGTAGCCAAAAAAAAAAAAGGAAAAACGAAAGTATATCAAATTCTGATGATCTCAGATAAACTCTAAAAGACGGTATCCTTGAAGATTTATCAGCATTTTTGAGAATTAGTGTTCAATATGTTTAAAGATTAAAAAAATAATTTATCCCTAATTATACCAATTCCGGGAGCCTGCTCTTAGGAAGAAAAAAAAAGAAGCACTGAATTATTATACATTACATATTACTTGAAATTTTGAAAAAATATTTTAAAAATATAAGATAGACTTATTTCAGTTTATCTTGTCAGTACAGAAATAGGTTTCGGGAGTTAATGCTCACCTGAGAAGAAAATCAGTAAGGTGAGAGACAGCACGAGCACAAATAACCTCTTCATCCTGCCTTGGTCCCTCTCTCCGCCTGTTGCAGAATGAATCCCCCCGGTCAAAGAGCCAGCCTACTTGAAGAAAGCCACATCCGGCCCAAAGGCTGTTTATGCTCTGACTAACAGCACTCACAGCATGATGCTAAACGCATCTGACGCTAAATTTTCAGTATGATCACGAAAATATTTTCCTCTGAATTCCTATAAATTTTCATCCTGAGGAAGGAAATTATCCCTCTGTCATCAAACTTTTGGAGCTTGAATTTGACAAAGCAACACATGACAACCATTTCATTTAAATAGATATGTCTATATATACATCATGGAGTAGTTTGTGTTTATCTGTAGCTTCAGTTTATGCTCCTACTGTTTCATTGAGAATTAATCACCTCTCACATTTACATATTTTATGACACTTTTCCAAAACCCATTCACCAATCCATTTTGACCTCCCCAGTAATTTCAGAAATTAGCAGGGAAATTAGCAAGGAGCCTAATGAGGGGAAAAATTTTTTTTCAGCTGACCTTGAAGCCAGATAGACCAGGGTTCATGCCCAGGCTTCCCCTCTTTCTAGCAACATAAACTTCGGTCAATCACTTATCCTTTCTGAACTTCAGTTTCCTCTCCTGTACAAAGGAAATAACAGTACCTACCATGTGGATGATTAAGGATGAGGGATAAGGGATGAGATGCATGGCTCATCTTCATTTTACAAGTAAGGAATTGGGGTTCAGACAGGTGAAATGATGTCCAAGTTCATACATTTTGCTGAAGTCGAGCCAAATTCTTCTGTTTTTAAAGCCTGGAGCTCTTCCCATTATACCCCAAAAGGGCCTTGTGCAATAAGTCAGTAATACTGTAAGTAGCCTTACTCCACACTTAAGTTTATTTTTATAAAGATAATAAAATCTCAATAAGCTGAAGTCTTTTTAAATTCAAATCACCAATATATATCACATAAATTATTAAATATATTATAAAAATATGTGTGGAAGGTATGTGGCATTTATTGGGATAAAATTCTCAGTTCAGAGAAATGATCTGATGTTTCTGTAGTTACTTTGCCAGCTCAAAAGAAAACAACCCCCTATCAGTGGTTGCCCAAGTTTATGCTAATGTTGTGTAATTGATATTAAACTCAAATGTTCTGCCCATTCTGCTGGTATAAAAATAGTCTGAACCGACTGTTATCAAGGAAAAGAAATCATGCATTGTTAGCAAAGTTGCCTCATATGTTAATTTGCTCAAAATTAGATGTTTGGTTTTATGTACTCTGTTGCTATTGACATCCTTCTGTTCTCATACAGTTTTCAATAACTGCGAAATTTTAGGAGCACTATTTTAGCAATATACATTTGTCACACAAAGCATCTTGGTTTTTTATGTGCATTGTCAAGTTTTTTATTCCGTTTGTTCTTTGTGGTTGGAACGAACACTAACTGCATTGTTTTGTTATATCAAATAAACATCTTCTATGGACCAGAAAAAAAATTTATACCTAGCTAGAAATTTCTAATGTATCCAATGTAAATTCAGTACAAAAGTATTTTTTTCATTTGGTAACTGCTGTCTGTATCAGCACTGTCCAATAAAATCATAATGTAAGTTATGGATGCAAGCCACATAAGTTAAATTTTTCTAGTAGCCACATTTTTTAATAGTAAAAAAACAGGTAAAATTTTTTAAATTATATTTTATTTAACATGAAATACGCAAAATATTGCTTCAACATGTAATCAAGATAAAGTACTAATCAGATATTTTACATTCTTTTTTTTTGTACCAAGTCTTTAAAACTTGGTGTGTATTTTATACTTGCACATTTCAAGTGCTCAGTAACCACATGTGGCTAGTGGCTACCACACTGAACAGTGTAGGTCCAGATTCTTCCATCTCTCATGCCACTACCAGAGTCTAGGCTACTGCTACTTCTCACCCAGCCTCCTGCACCAGGCTCCCAACTGCTCTCCCAGCTTCCCTCCCTGTTTGCTTCAATCCATTCTCCATGCAGCAGTAATGATGGTCTTCTTAAAACAGAAATACAAAATATAAATTGGACCTCATCACTTCCCTGCTTACGAGTCTTTCTTTATCTTCCCACTGGGTTCAGAACAGAATCAGAAACCCTACCGTGCACTACAGGACGCTGTGTTACCTGGGACTGTGGTTTTTTCCAACCCCACTCCAAGCGCACCCCTCCAGCTCATGCCAATCCAGCTACACTTCGTTACTTTCAATTTAACAACCTCTTTCCCACCCAGGATCTTTGCACATGCTCTTCCTCCCTCTTTTAATGACTGGATTCTTCTCAGTCTTCAGGTTTCAATTTGTAATTTCTCTTGCTCAAGCAAGCCTGTCTTTACCAGCATACTTAATGAAGGTTCCCTGCCACCCCACAACCACCATGACTCTCTACCTCACAGCACTCCCCGTAATGGGTAAATGTTGTCTTTGTTTACTTTTTAAAATCTGTCTCCTCCACTGGACCGTAAGCTCTAGGTAAGCTTATGTTACTTTTTTTTTTTAATATTGTTTCTAATATTCTCCATTTATTTATTTGTTTGTTTGTTTGTTTTCGGCTGTGTTGGGTGTTTGTTGCTGCGCGCAGGCTTTCTCTAGTTGTGGCGAGCTGGGGCTACTCTTCGTTGCGGTGCGCGGGCTTCTCATTGTGGTGGCTTCTCTTGTTGTGGAGCACAGGCTCTAGCCGCGGGGGCTTCAGTAGCTGTGGCTCGCGGGCCCTTAGAGCGCAGGCTCAGTAGGTGTGGCACACGGGCTTAGTTGCTCCGTGGCATGTAGGATCTTCCCAGACCAGGGATTGAATCCCTGTCCCCTGCATTGGCAGGCGGATTCTTAACCACTGCACCACCAAGGAAGTCCCGTGTTACTTTTCTAATTTAAAAAAAAAAAAAGAGAGAGAGAGAGAGAGAAAGAAAAGGGAACCTTGGGTGGACAGGAGAAGTGAGACTGGAGAAAGCCTGTATCCCACCCTGGGATGCTGGTTCAAGGTCTCAGGTGGAGAGGGCCCCTCAGGTGTGATACTCACAGGGTCATTCAAATGCCTTTCAGGTGGGCTCTGGAGATATCATCTCAAAAGGGGGAACTATAGAAAAACTGAAAGAGCAAGGTAACCTGATTGTGAGTGTCACTCTGGTGGGGAGAATTCTCTTCTACCTGCTTATGCTCCTTTCTAGGGAAAGTGTCAGCCAGATCAATTAGGTGAGTCAACAGGGCTCACAGTAGAAGACACAATTCCCAAAAGATCCACAAGGTGGCAGAGTAGAGAGAAGAACCTGGGACAACAAAGGTCAGGGGAAAGACACTTCAGGCCACCAACATTCACCATTCCAGAAGTTGCCAAGAATACCAGGGGATCCATTGGAGGTGGAGACAGGTGGCATTGCAGTGCCTCAGACTATTTTCCTAGGATTTTAATTGATCTGAAGGTCCCCATCAGATACTGAGACATGGGAAAGCTACATTACCAATTTGACAACATTTAAGAATATATAAAGGAAGAGTGCTACCACCCGTATCACAGCACCCTGACATAACTGATATTTTCATTCATGTGGGTTTCCCATCTCTTTTAAAAAGAAATCCTTAAATGTTTAAACATCAGTGATAAAGCTGACACCATCAAGTTCTCAACACCATCACCCTGCATACTCTTTCAATAGGATAAGACAGTGATTTCAAATCCTGTGAGCTAAAGAAACTTCAGAAACAAGGGAACATCTTTTTTTTTTTTCCTATAGAAAGCTGCTGAATCTGTCTCAAGAGAATTATAACGTGTCCACATTCTTTAGGCCCAGAGCCAATAAAATAAATTCTAACATTCCTTTTTGCAGTTGTTTTCTTTTTTATTATTAGTTTTTTTGGCTCCCTTTCCCACTAGACTATAAACTCTACATGTTTACCATGTACATATAATTGTTGTATACTATTCATAACAGTACCTCCATAAATCTCATGTGTACCTACCCACACATTAATTTATAGGCACACTGTGTGGGCAGATGTTAGGTTTGGGTTAGGCAGATTGAATTATTAGCACCAGTTCTTCATCATCACCAGTGCACATCTATGCTCTTCACCATATGACTTTGCAGTCCTGCCCCTTAACTTTGGGCCCAACCACGTGACTTGCTCTGGACAGTGGGATGGTAGCAGACATGACACAAACAGAGGCAGGAAATGTGTTTGCAGAGTTAGCGGTACCCTCTTGCATTTTGCAGCCATTGCTACAAAAAGAGCTTCCCCCAGACAGCTGCCATCCTTCAAGCTAGGTCTCAGAATTAACTCCCATGAAAAGTGTCTGCACAGATGTACAGCCTCCAGCAGACCCACCCAGCCCAGTGCAGCCTCACTCAGCTGACCTCCAGCTACCACCACCTGTAGCAGAGCCTCCCATTAACCTGCAGACCCTTAAGAGTAAATGATTATTTCAAGCCACTGAGCTAGGAGCACTTTGTTACACAGCACTACTCTGACAACAGATAACTGATACAGGGGGTATAATGGGATGGTCAGCGTGTCCAAATCTGGGTGCTTTGGGGTCTAAGTTAATAATAGGGTCCTGCCAGATACTTCATCCAAAAGTGAATGAACATCTGCTGTGTGGACTGAGTGATATAATGGTCCAGATTGTGGGCTGCAGAGTTATCAATAGAGCTGGGCTTGAATCCTGGCTCTGAAACTTATTATCTGTGTCACACTGAAGCTGTGTGACATTGGGCACATTTCTTTACTATCCAAGTCACTGTTTACTCACTATTAAAAAATAATTATTATTATAATAAAACTTACATCTTAAGGTGTTTTGAGACTTAAAAGAGAAAGTGTATGTAAAGTACTTGACAGATATAGTAACTAATACCTGGAAACTATTACTGTTTTATTATTCCTCCTTCTCTGTGAAATCACTCTTCTTTATATTTGCACACCCTACCCATTCTCAGACACATGATAGAAAGCCTGTAAAAAAATTTTTAATGACCAAATGATATCGAGATTAACCAAACACATCTTAAGATAATTTTATATACTGTTGAAATAAAAATACATCTTTATTAGAAAATAAAATATGGCCCCTTTTAAGTGTGAGTTGCTTTCCCCTGCTCTGTCTCTACACCCCACGCCCTGAGTTTCCT